TGGCTAATTAAAAAAAAAAAATTTAGTAGAGATGGGATCTTGCTATGTTGCCCAGGCTGGCGTTGAACTCCTGGTCTCAAGTGATCCTCCAGCTTTAGCCTCCCAAAGCACTAGGATTATAGGCATGAGCTATTGTGCTCAGCCTGGAATGCTTTCTAACTCATTTGGATTTTAGCATAACCCTGATACCAAACTTGATGAGAAAATTAGAAGCCAATCTCTTGTGAACATAGATACAAAAATAATAACAAAAATAATTATGTTTCACGCCAGTAATCCCAGCTCTCCTGTAATCCCTGCCTTGGGGGGCTGAGGCAGGAGGACTGCTTGAGACCAGAAGTTCAAGACCAGCCTGGGCAATGCAGCAAGATCCCGTCTCTACAAAAAATAAAAAAATTAGCTGGGCGTGGTGGCACACGCCTGTAGTCCCATCTACTCTGGAGGCTGAGGCAGGAGGATTGCCTGAGCCCAGAAGTTCAAGGTTGCAGTGAGCTATGATCACACCACTGTACTCCAGCCTGAGCAACACAGTGAGACCCCATCTCTAAAAAATAATTATGAATGGAATAATACAATCCTGACAAGTTGACTTTACTCTAGGAATGACAGATTGGCTTAACCCTCCAAACTCAATCAATGGGAATAAAAAAGATAAATATCAATAGAATAAAGTTGAAAAATTATATAGTTATATATCTCCACAGATACTTCTTTATACTTGATAAAATCAATATTCATTTATGATTTTAAGAAACAACAAACAAACCCTTTTAGCAAATTAGGAATAGAAGGGAATTTCTTTAACCTAAGAAAGAGTGTCTCTAAAACATCTATAGCAAATATCCCACTTAATGGTGAAATACTGAAAGATATTCCCCAAATTGGAAATGAGACAAGCATGTCCCCATCATTTCTTTTGTTCAACATTGCACAGGAGGTACTAGCCTGTGCAAAAAGGGAAGGAAAATAAAAAATAAGGATTGGAAAAAAAGAAATAAAACTACCATTTATAGATGACATTACTATATGAAGAAAATCCAAAAGAATGTATGAATAAAACTCTTAGAATTGGCCGGGCG